CTTCGATTCTTTGGACCTCAGTTTTCTTATCTCTAAAATGTGTAAACACTTAATAAGAAAACAGTGTTGAGCAAATGGGATTAAGAATACTTACCACATGGGGTCTTTGTGGCAATTAAGTGAGATTAAATAGCTAGTGACATAGTAGGTATGGTGGTTAATTTCATATGTCAACCTGACTGGGCTGTAGGGTGCCCAGTCATTTGACCAAGCATTATTCTGGGTACGTATGTGGAGATGTTTTGAATGAGATTAATATTTGAATCAGCAGACTAAGTAGATTGCCCTCCTTGATATGGATTGCCTTCATCCAATCAGTTGAATGCCTGGACAGAACAGAAAGATTGATTTCTCCCTTTTCCCCCTCAGCTGAGAGAGAATTTCCTCCTGCCTTAAGCTAGACACTGTATGCTTCCTGCTGTCAGACTTGACTACATATTCCTGTTGCACATATATCTTGGGACTTAACAGCCTCCATAATCACATGAGCCAATATATATAGGCTGTCTGAAGAATCCTGACTACTACAATAGGTACTTTTTCTAAAAAAAGTAATCTTAAATCTAAACAAGAAATGATGTCTATATATTAAGCTGATTGAAATTATGTTGTTCAAGGGGGGGAATGTGATATCAATAATGGCTTAAATAGCACTTGCAATACATGTACTTTTCAGAGGACATACTAGTTCTGCTAAAACCAGCATTTATAACAATTGTGTGTGTGTGTGTGTTTGTGAGAGAGAGAGAGACAATATTACTACCCTAACCCCTCTGGGAAAGGCATTTTAGGTTTATGTTAAGTATATTATATTAGCAAAACTCCCTAAAATTTAAGATTTATATTATTTGCACTATAATTTTATTAATCCTTAACTGTGATGAAATCATTGAAATGCAAATCTGACTGTGCTAAAGAAGGTGAAGAAAGCATTCAATGGTTGCCTCACTCATCGCCTGTAGAGGTGTCAAGGGTCTTCCACAAGCATGGACCGAGGAGAAAGCTGTCACACTGAGATTGAGATTCCATGTTCAAGAAAGGAGAGTACGAGCTGCCTCACGTGGTTCATACAGCAAGAGCATGCCACAGAAAGGCAGGGAAAGAATGAAGACCACTGGAGGAGGAGGAAAGGTGTTCAAGGAGAGGCTGGTTTGTGGGTCTATGTGGGTCCAGTTGTGTCACTGCTGGATCACTGGCCAGCACTCTGGTTCTCCTTCCTAAAGCTCTCTGAGGTTCATGCCTTCTCTCTTTCCCCTGTCTGTGGTTCATACAGCAAGAGCATGCCACAGAAAGGCAGGGAAAGAATGAAGACCACTGGAGGAGGAGGAAAGGTGTTCAAGGAGAGGCTGGTTTGTGGGTCTATGTGGGTCCAGTTGTGTCACTGCTGGATCACTGGCCAGCACTCTGGTTCTCCTTCCTAAAGCTCTCTGAGGTTCATGCCTTCTCTCTTTCCCCTGTCACTACCCTTGAGCAAGGATATTAAGCCCTGACCAATAGCTTTCTCTCACGTCCTTTTCTACTCCCATTCATTCCCACAAGCATCCTATTTCTAAGAAATTCAAATATTGTTCCATCATTGCCCAGCTTATAACCTGCCCTTTGAGCTTAAGCTAAAAACTTAGCACCTTAGCAGTGCAGCCCATCAAACTTGGCTCTTGCCTTTCTCCAGTGCCATCTCTTACTGCAGTTGAACTTGAACAGCATAGGTTTGTACTGCATAGGTCCACTACACATGGAGTTTTTTCAATAAATATATTGGAAAATACAGTACCATAAATGTGTTTTCTTTTCCTTATGATTTTCTTTTTAATAAGTTTTGTTTGTTTGTTTTTTAGAGAGGTTTTTGCTATAGGGCATGTGCGCTCACCAGAAAGACAGAGAGACAGAAAGCAAGAAATCACCCCCCAAGGGGGACGACCACACCATAATCCCTTCTCCTCAACTCTCCTCTTGGGATCTTGGGCATGCACACATGCGCGCCCAGTGTGAATTTTAAGCCACTGGGTCCGGGACTCGAACCATGGTAAACTACATGAGAGTCCAGCAACATAGTCATTACTCCATTTGCTGGTCCCCCTAAGATATTTTTATAATTATTTCATTTTACTTACTTATTCATTTATTTTAATGTTATCAGAGAGAGAAATAGAGAGAGAAAGTGAGAAAGCAAGCCACCAGGTTTGGGACATAAACCATGGTTGGCCATGTGGGAGTCCAGAGCCTCAACCACCACACCACCTACCTGCCTCTTCCTTATAATTTTCTTAATAACATTTCTCTCTAGTTTACTCATATTAAGAATGCAGTATATAATACTGGGTTGTCTGAAAATTCATGACATATTTTGCTATGTTTTTCTATGCAAAAACACATCAAAACTTTTCTGACTACCCAATAGTGTGACATATAAAATGCAGATTAATCAACTGCTTAGTTATCAGTAAGGTTTTCCATAAAAAAATGTAGGCTATCAGGAGCTAAATTCTGGGGGAGCCAGACATTATATGCAAATTTTGACTGTTCAGAAGGTCATTGCTCCTGACCTCTGCATTGTTAGGAGTCAACAGTACTTTTTCCACTCTGCTAGTACTCAATTTCTGTAACTATTATACACTGTTCAGTTCCTCGAACATGCTGTTCTCTCTCTCCTGAGTCTTTACACATGCTATTCCCTGTCTTAAAACATTGTTCTACTCCCTTCATTCTGGTTTTTCAACTACACAAGGCTCACTTCTCAGCATAAAGATCATAATTCGTAAGAATGTCATAAATAATTGAGGTAGAAAGTAAAGAGAAGCAGTGGCCCCCTAGAGGCAGGAATTCTGGAGGATGCCACATTAGCAGTCCAACTCTAGAAGGGCTGAAGAAATTGCATGAGTAAGACTATGGAGGCAAGTACAGGGAAGTACAGGAAGGCTGGAAAACAGAAAGAAGAGGATTTCTGTGCACAGGAGTGGGTTTTTTTTAACAGGGGCTGAGGAGAAAGGTATAGCCTAAAGTAACTCAAGAAGGTAAAGAGTCCTTAAAGTCAAGGTTAGTCTTTGTTTTGTAAGCAGTATGGCAAATGTGAAACATATTTAAACTGGGAAGTGACAGTGTCTAATTTATGTTTTAGAAAAGTTTAACATAATGAGACTGGGGAGAGGAGGGATCACAGTGGAAGAAGGTGAGAACCTGACAAGGATGGCAGCTGGCAGCACTGGTATAAAGTGATGGATTCAAAAGATGTGGGGATATAACCGCCTGGGCTTGATTATCTGGTACAAGGGAGGAGAGAGAGAGAGAGACAGACAGACAGACAGACCCAGGAAACCAAGAGAACTTGAGCTTCTTGCCTGGGTAATTGGGAATAAGATGAGGTCGTTGGTTGAGATGGGAATCATGAAAGGGGAGCCAGTTTCGGGGAAAACAATGAATTAGATCTGGAATATGTTGACTTTAGGGTGTAAGTTCAGAAAGTCTATTTGTATAATTTAAATAGGACTCAGCCCTGGTTATGATATGCAGGGCCTTTCACAGAAACCACCTGTGAGAGTTCATTTTATTCTTCCTGGTGCAGGTACAGTTTCATAATTCCTGTTTTCCATATTCCAAAGAAGGGATATGAATTCCTTGCTTTGCATGCAAATGAGGAGTTGTAAAAGCACAGAGAGATTGGACATAAGGTCCGTGAGTGGGAGATGACCTGTTGTGCGAGAGCCAAAATTTTCACTGAAAAATTGTGGGTTTTTTGCCCTAGCTTCTGTCAGTCAGTTATAATTTGTTTCCCAACCAACCCCCACCACAAGAGTCCCCCAACCAAGCACTAATACTGCCATGATGAGCAACCTGAACCCTCTAGATAGATAACTTCACCTCTTCACCACCGAGTTGTGCAGAGCTTGAAGTCCATCATGTGCACATTTTACACATGGTTATGTAGTTCCTTCTTTGCTTTTGAACTCTTTACAAGTGTATGTCTTGTCTCCTGAAGTTTTTAACTCCTAAAGGGCCCAATTAATGCCAAACATTTCATTCCACTGTTGTTCACAGTGCCAGGTACATATTAAGTTTTCAAAAAATAAAAATTGAAACTGACACTGAATTCATTTGGCCTACAAAGGAGAATTGGGAAGGGGAGGGAAATGGTGTCACAGATGTAAAACATAATACTCTGTGGGCCTGACTCCCATGGGAGGGTTCCATGTTCATGTCTGGAGGCCTCCCTGAATATGCTGGGCATACATGTGCCCCTGAATCTGAATCTGAGGGTGGATTGCAATGTCAAGACAATTTTGGGGGCACTGTCTCTCTGTATGTCTTCGTAATGGAAAAAATTTATTTTAAAAATACATATTAGAAAGAAGAATGGAAAAGAACTTCCTTGAAAGAACATGGTACAACAGGACATGATAACATGTTAGTTTGGGCAGTGAGACAGTATCAGTGCCCAACATACAAAGGGCCATTTAAAAAGGGGGCTTTTCCTCTTTTAAGGAGAAAAATACTGGTGTCCAAATTGCCAAGCCAGTTATCTTTTCAACTCTCTAACAAATCTGTTTTCCTGGAATTACCTGTAGTTTGTCAGAGAAGTTGTGATGCATTTTTATGTAGAAAAACAGAAAAATATGTCATGATTTCTGATGACCCAATAAAATACTGAACTTGAATTTACAGTTAATTATATTCAGTAGTACAAAACAGTCCCCAGATAGCAAGACTGAAGGTCAGTCTTAACCTTTGTATTAGAGTTCCATTTTCATGGTCATCATGAAGTTTGGGTAACTTAAAAGAAGGGTATTCATGACTTAGGCCATGACATTTTCCCCAGGCGGAAGAGGAGGGACAACCCAAGGACAGGTTGAGTAAAAATGCTTGGGGCCAGAAGTGTTCTAGATTTTTTTGAACTTTGGAATATTTGTATATACAAATGAGACATCTCAAGGATAGACCCAAGTCTAAACACAAAATTCATTTATGTATTCAGACATCACAGGGAACCTGCCATTGTTGTATCTGACCTGCATGTGTGCCATTTTCTGATCTTCTGTGGACGTGCTCTTGTTGGGGAATCTGGGCGTCCCTGGAAAACATATATCACAGGTAACGGGGGCTAGGAGGGTCTGATCTCCCTTTGGGATGCTGAATAAATTGTCTCATGTGCCTGAATTTTGACTTGACTTGTTACATGAAGAGTAAGGTATGGAATTTTCCACTTACAGTGTCAGGCAGGTGCTCCAAATGTTTCCAATTCTGGAGCATTTCGGATTTTAGATTTTTAGATTAGGGATGCTCAACCTAGATTAACCACAGTAACCACATTATGTGCTTTTAATGCTGCAGAGGGTAGAAAGGTGGTTTTGTGCTATGAGTTGATGAGTTCCAATAGGCCTCTGACTACAAAGATTTCTCTGGCTGTCTTGCGACCACCACCTGGTACTCAACCATCTATATCACTATTTCATACAGAATCCCCCACCAGGATCACCTCCAAGCTGTCTAGGACACTGGAAAAATAGGGCCAACAGGTCATAGCTTTCAGTAGGGGACACAATAAGGAGTAGGAAAAGGAATGGTTCTAAAGTGGATCAGGGCCTGCTCTTGGGACCAGCATGAAGCATGCCTCTGGAGGTTGCCAAAGATGAGAGGGGAAACTTGCTTCTCAATTCTACCAAGAACTCGATTTCCCCACTCATTTTAGAGCATACCTTTCCTTTTCTGAGGTTCCCACAAGGCCTGGGGTAAATCGCAGTGGAGTTCTTGGCAGCTCTGGTGGCACCGATGCCCATCAGCTCTGGGTCACATTCCTTTGAAGACTTCACAGACCTTGAGTTACAAAGGCCTCTTGCACAATTCTTAAGAGAGTGGGCATGAGGGCTGGGCTGAGATAAAGGGGAGTGTCTTTCATGTGTCAGAAATCCAGGTGTGACCAGATGCCAAGTCAGCCCAGATGGTGGCAAGAGAGAGAGTCTAATGTCTCAGGACCTCTGGAAAGGTGATTTTCATTTCCTTTTTTTTCTCTTCAATAAGACTTGTCAGACTACGTCTTCTCAGGAAGGTTAAAGGAAAACATTTCAAAAGTTCACTTGGCATAGCCAGCATAGCCTTGTTTCAGTTTACTGGAGAGATTTGAGATTTCAAAACCACAAAGAAGAACCTGAAACTAGGACTCCTTTTATCCCTTCATTTTTCACCACGAGTTTCTCCTGCAGTTTTATGCTGCTATGTGTGCAAAATTACTCAATCTATTACACAACTTTGGAAATTAATATGGAAACTAAAAGATATTACCACAGCCCTATTTAAATCCTGTGCCATGATAGAATGTTCTTTCATTTCATAATTTTCTTTTATTAAAGATACTTTGTGAGGAAAATCAGCAACATAGAAGATTCTTAGCTGGCTAGAAGACTATCTAATAGCCCAGAAAATATTCATTAGGTCTTTCTTTTTTTTTTTTTTTTAAATAAAGTTGCTTGCTATAGGGTACATGTGCTCACCAGAGAGACAGAAAAGATAGAGAGACAGAAAGCAAAAAATCAACCCCTCCAGGGGGGATGGCCACACCATCCCCTTCTCCTCTTGGAATTTAGGGCACTCACACACACACACACACACACACACACACACACACACACCCAGCATGAGTTCTAAGCCTCCAGGTCTAGGACTCGAACCATGCTTGGCCATGTGGGAGTCCAGCGACATAGTTGTTACACCATCTCTGGTCCCTTATTAGGTTTTTCTAAGGCTAACGATGAAGGTGATGCCTATGAAAATTAGATCTGTATTAAACTATTCTTAATTTCATTTTCTTTCAGAATTTGGATCTTTGAGCTTATTTGTAATAAATCAGTCAGAAACACTCTAAGTACCTGTGTCCAGGGAGTGTTTGGGCTTGAACCCACAGATGAATTGGGATACAAGACATACACAGCTCTTCCTAAAACAAACCCTGGAGGAGTCTAAAGAGGCCTCTATGTTATTGAGATCATTCCAAATGAAATAGGAACTCATGGGGTAAGTCAGAGAAAGCTCATATAGGAAGGATGTTAGGTAACCAGGGTAGGTCAGTTTCCTGGGATAGATGCAACAGCCCCTACCAATAAAATGTTTACTCACATGTACGTTCACAGAGTATACACACACATACACTGCATGCTCATAAGCAAAGCATGATTTACACTAGGCAAGGCCATAGAAAGACTATTATAAAATAAAAAGGTTTTGAGTTATATAAATGCTTTTTTTAATGGACTACTTTTTTTGTTGTCTTGTTTTAGGTTTTTGCCATAGGGTGAGGGTGCTCACCAGAGAGAAACAGAAAGAGACAGAGAAAGGGAAAGTGAAAAATTGTCCCCCAGGGGGATGGCCATGCCACAATCTCTTCTCTTCCATTCTCCTCTTGGGATATTGGGCACACATGCACATGTGCCCGGAGCTACCTTCAAGCCACCATTCCAGGACTCAAACTGTAGTCGGCCATGTGGAAATCCAGCACCTCAACCACCACACCACCTGCTGGCCCCGTGGACTTCTAATCACATCTCAAGGTGCAGTAGCCTGTAAATTTGATTTTTCTGGATTTATTTTCATTATTATGCCAGCTTTTTGGACAAAGTCTTGGTGTCTTTTCTTGACCTTGGCCATAGCTTTTTGTATTTGGCACTGCAGAGGCAAGGGGGTGGGGGCTATGGTGAATATCACCACAATAACCACACTGGGGTGATAAAATGCGGTTTCCTCATTATTTAATATTCTAACTTGGATATAAAATGAGTTCATTCAAATGCGAACCTATAAATTAATTAAAATGCATGTTGGGAGCAGAAAGTATAGGAGAGACCACTGGGCTGAGAGCTTGATGGCACTAACTAGCTTGATGCCTTTAGCTAAGACACTTGACTTCTTTGTTGCTGGTATCTGCTCTGGAAATGAAGCTGGCAAGGATGATCCCTTAGTTCCTTATTCTAAATGTCTGTGGTATGTGACTAACACAACGGTCAGAGAACATTACAATCAATAAACGTAAATGTGGATGAGTTAGAACATTCTGTGTTTTGTGGATATTATTTTAGGTTAAGCCTAAACTTAGTTTTCAATGACTATAAAATGAAGTCTAAAACTGGGTCAATGAGATTTTAATTTTCAAGGTCTTAAGATGTTGGTTCATAACCTAATTATGAAAACCTTAGTGACTTCTTTAGATTGAAGTTGCATGTGTGCTATAAAGTTAACGTGCAAGTACATTTTATCTGGTCTCTGAATGTTTTATGTACTTTTGGTCATGACTTTTAAAGAGTGTGAGTGTTGGCCTTACTATTGTGAAATAGCGATTCTTCCTGTGTCAGGCCAAAGGAGTATGAAAATCACATCCAGTAGAAGAGATTCAATTCCCTCCTCCCCTGCTGCCCTTGGGGTCTCCTGTGGGGAGCTGATGTACCTGTCAGAACCCTAGTGAGGAAGTGTCAAACTCCTGTCTTGCAGGCAAATCTCAGCGTGTCTGCCCCAGCACTACCGAAGCAGAGTCCCAATGTGTTGAGACCAGAGGAGTCCTAAGGGGGTGAGTCAGGGCCTGGCACCCACCCTGCACTCCACCCTACTGGTAAACAGAACAGCTATTTGCCATCACTCAGAGCCTCTAAGGGACCTGAGACTTCAGGAAGAAACAAATAGTTCAGAAGCCAAAACCCTGAGGCAAAGTAAAGAAAACAGAACTGTCTGCTTCCCCAGCGATGATTTCACTGGCCTGAGTTCCTAAGAGGGGGAGGAGCTGTGGGTGGTTCCAGCTGAGCTGTTTTACTTCCCAGCCATAAGGCCCTTCTCTTTCACTGCATAGAGGAGGTGGCCTTTGGCCTCTTAAGCCCTGAAATTTTCAAAACTTAAGAGTAAACCCTGGTTGCTAACCCATAATGTATTTTTTCTTCTTTCTTTTTATTATTTTCATATCTTTTTGTAGTATTATCTATTAAAATACTTCTTTCAGCTAGTTTTTGTTCTGTTTGCTCTTCCCTGTTAAAAAGAGAAAAAACATTTAGATAGCAGAATATCACTAGGAAACAAATGTGGACTACTCTCAAGTAATTTCCAATCGACCTCTTGAGGTACTTGTGTCTTTTGCATTTTCCCAGTAGTTGAAGGAGAGGACAGTGAGCTGATAACAGCCTTGGAAATGGCTCCATGACAAAAAGCCTGGTTGTCGGGATGAGGTGCCCCAGCTCAGCTCCTGATGGAATGGCCTCTGGCCTTTCTCCTACTATACATTGCCCTAGAGGAGCTGCGGCATAGTCTCTGTGTGTAGACACGTTCACTTTGAAGTCCTTTTCTCCTTTTCCTTTAGACACACACCAGCCAATCATGTTCTGAGCTTAGCAAAGGTCACATACCTGCACCAGAAGCATGGCTGACGACCCCTTCTAGCTCCTTCAGGCAGTGTTCCACCTCTATGCTATCAGTATCTAAACTGCCTGTTACTTCTCCTTCTCAGGCGTTGTTGTAGTCGTTGTAGTCGAGCCTGGACTGTATATTGTGATGTCACAGAGTGGAATCCTTGTGCCTCTCTATGGTTCAACTGAGACCTTCCTGGACAGCACTTCCTTTCTTGCCCATAGTGGGAGGTTAAGGAAGTAAGATCCCTTAATTTCCATTTGCTCCATCAAAACCTTATTGGAAATCTTAAGGAAGAATGTCCTGGCAGGTCATAAACTGACCCAGAGAATTATGGAATCTTACCATACAGAGAGACCGTGGAGGCCTCTACTGACCAGATTCTATCTAATTCCTTTATTTTATAGATAAGGAAATTATGAGGTAGCAGAGCTAACAAGAGCCCAGGTTCTCTCAGTGCTACTTTCTACCCCTTTCACCACACTGTACTCACACCCTGTGCTAGCCTCTGGATCTTGTCGATGTCACAGTTTTCACTACCTGAATCCACCCATGACCAGAGACCATTCTGATTACATGCATTATGGGAAGAGAGCGGAGTCTCCATGAAGATCATGTGTTTTTCCCGGCAAGCATAGGTGCCAAGAATAGTTGGCTCTTGTCCTAGTCCAGACTCAGAAATCCTGAGCCACCAGACCAATTCAAGATTAACAAGTACCGTGACTTCTGAGTCGCCAGTGTTTTCACTGAGATTTGAAGATAAGCAACACAACTGAAATAAAAGCTCAGAATTATGTTGACTGCATGTGACATCAGGTTCCAGCATTTGTTGAAGAGGGGGCAGGAATAAGTGAAGAAATAGATTCTGACTAGAATTTACTTCTTTTCCCTCATAACCTTCACTTTTCCTAGACACCAATCCCTTTTGGTACTAAGAAACGATCTGCTTTGCAGCAGTATCATATCTCTGTAAAGTCAGAGTACTGTGCTTTCAGAAACTCTAAAGAGGGAACATACATTGTGTATTTATAATACCAGCAACTAACATTTTATTTCATGTTTTAGCATTTCCACACATATCTCTTAATCTTCACAACACAGTGAGGTAAATAATGTGTTATTTATTTTTAGTACAATTTTATGGATGAGAAAATTATAGAAGAGAGGTAGTGACTTGCACAAGACATAAAGCTAATTAAGTGGCAAGGCTAACAACTGTAGTCCAGATCTCCCAACCAGACTCATCCCCTCCTTAAGCCTTCCCCAGGTGGGAGGGTTGATCATTCGATCCCAGAACACACTTAAAGGCAACTGCATTAAGCAACACTTAGAGTAATAATGAAGAAATAATTCCCACGGATCATGAAAACTGCCTCACCACCTTCCTAAATGTCTTCATAAAAACTAAGAGAAATGGCTAATGAGCACTAGTTTCCAACCTTAAAATAAAATAATTATCACTCTTCTAACCAACAATTCCATGTCTGTGAATTCTCCATGCCTGATGCTTCTTCTAAGCATCATGGATAAGAACAATGTTTAGATCCAAGGAGTTCTTTAAAGCATCATTGATAACAAAAAACAAATGAAAAGCTCAACTTTAGAAATGTGGTAAAATGGACTATGCTAAACTCATAAAAATAACATTGTGGGTCATACTTTCCCAAATTTAGATAATTTGTGTGCCATCTTTGGAACATTGCCATCTGCACTAATGTTTACTTAACACTTTCTTTTAAATTAACTCACTCATTTTACTGAAGTAAGAATATTTAAAGGTAATTTATTATCATTACATAAGTGGAAATGCAGTATCAATTATGTTAAGTGTCCAATAATGATAAAAAGAAATAAAGTGAAAAGAAAGTAATGCTAATGATTCATTAATTTGTTCTTGATGCCTGGCAGAAAATATATGACCAATTTCATCAAGTTAAAATTAATACCCTTTATTTAATACCCTTTATTTATATCATGAACTTTACCTTTTGCATTAAAAACTTTTTTCGAGACCAACAGATAGTGTAATGGTTACATCACTGGACTCCCACCTAATCAGCTCAGTTCAAGTCCTGGACCCAGTGTCTTAAAACTCACATCAGGCATGTGTGCATGTATGCCCAAAATATTAAGAGGAGAATGGAGGAGAAGAGATTGTAGAATGGCCATCCCCCCTAGGGAGTGATTTCTCGCATTCTGTCTCTCTGTCTCTCTGTGCTGAGCACACATGCCCTATAGCAAAACCTCTCTCTAAATTACATATATGCATATATATATATATATATATGTATATATATATATTTCCCTCAATAATCTATAACAGGTTCAATATAGAAAAGAAATAAAGTGCTTGTCTGATTGCGCATCATTAGGTATATTTATACACACTTTGCATACTAAATCAATAACTAGCTTTAAAGGTCACCTTGCTTAGAGTAGGATAGTCCCATGACAGGATGTACAAGGGTCGAACCCCCATTCCCAAAGTGGTCTTCTTCCAGGTTTCGTTTTAGGGGGGAAAGAAATCTAGGTCTTCACTTGTGGCCAAACATCTATTAATACATCAAATCCTTTGAAGGTACAGATTATGCCACTTCTCTGTAGCACGTGTCTGCGCCGAAACTCACACACTGCCCCAGCAGAGCATGTAAAGCCTCACACCTGAAGCACACAGAGCTCTGGGTCAATATGGAACTGGGATGAGGGAACCTGCATCCCTAAGCAGGAGTTTACGTGAGAGTTACAGATATTTGTTAAGTCAGAGTTCAAAAGTTATGGAGGGGACCAGCAGTTAGCATAATGGCTATGTTGCTGGACTCCCACGTAGTCGACCGCAGTTCGCATCCCAGACTTGGTGGCTTAAAAATCACGCTGGGCACGTGTGTGTGCATGCCCAAGATCTGAGAGGAGAATTGAGGAGAAGGGATTGCGGCATGGCCATCCCCCCTGGGGGGTGATTTCTCGCTTTCTGTCTCTCTGTCTCTCTCTGTCTGTCTGGCGAGCACACGTGCCCTATAGCAAAAACCTCTAAAAAAAAAAAAGTTCTGGAGAAAAATTGTGTGGGGGGAAAAATACCAACATTTTGAACACTTCCATGCCAACTTGATCCAGAATTTCTCAAATTGTGGTCTACAGAACAACTATGCCAAAATCACTTATTTCATTTAACAAGTACACACACACATACACACACACACACACACACACACACACAGGTTCCTACACACCTCTCTAGATTTACTGCCTCCAAATCTCAGGGGCTGGGTGAGGGACTCATGAGTAGGCAGCCCTCCAATGGATTCTGATGTGCACAAACACTGGAGAATGATTGCTCTAGGCCAGGTGTTCCCCAACTTTAGAGCAGGACATTGGAGTACCTACCTGAAGGGCTAGTTAAAACAGATTATGGTCACCATTCATCAAGTTTCTGGTTCTGGAGGTCTGGAGGGAGGCCCAAGTCTTGACATTTTTAACAAGTTCCTAGGGCTGATGTTTGAGGCCACACCTTGAAAATGACTGCACTTGGTCCAAGAAACTAGGGAGAGTCTAAGGCATTTCCAAAGGCCAAAGAAATGCAGTTTGAAACAAAAGACTCAGAAAAAATAATTGCTATGAAGGAATTGTGTTCTTATTTTGTTTTTGTCTTTTTAATAGGATATTTCCACTTCCCTACAGATAATTTCCTCAGCATCATCCTTGCGGTCTATGACCATCCATTCAGGATTCTCCAAAGTTAAGCAGAATCACTTTTCCTTATTTTGCACCTTTTAAAATGTGAGAATCTTAATGAATAAACACAACTGATGCCTAAATTTTCAGATGCCTGCTTTAATTTGATTAGAACGACCCACTGAACACCAGTGTGAGCATAACAACAATTACCTACAAAAGAAATAAGGGATATGAACAGACTATGTGCTAGAGATTTCTCTTTTTTCCCCAAAGTCTAATTAGTCATCTCTGAGGTGGAGGAATAGAGAGAGAAAAAAAGAGAGCAGACCACCCACAAAAGATGCCAAGCATCCCCTGCAGAGTTTTGTGCTTCAGTCCCTATCCCCAGTCCTTCAGCCAGCCACAGGTGCCCAGCACGCACTGGTCAACCTGGGATCCACATGGCTTTCAGTCTTGCAGAGCCTCATGCCACCATTGTGCCAGTACAGCTGTCCCGGAGATTTTAACTAAGCCTGACTCTGAAGCTGGACTTTTCTAAAAGAGGTTATGAGAATTCAATATAATCCTGAAAAACTACATCTAAATCCAGGCCCTTTTCCAAACCAAACTATGTATGCTTAATAAAAATGTAAGCATGCCTCTAGCATTAGAAAGATCTTTGTGAAGAATCAGAAAGATAGTGCTAATGTTTGTTCACATGGAACTCTCTTCATGTACTCACAAAATCATAATATTTTCTCGAAACAAAGGTAGTACTATATACCCCAGTAGAATTCACTTCTAAGTAGCGCTAATGACATTATTAAAAGAAAATGTCAGCCAAGCTGCAATAAAACATTTCTAGGCCAATAAAAGTAGTTTGAATTGAATGCTTTAAAATTATTGGCTTTGAAAGGTTAAAATAATAAGAGATCACAGATCCAAGAAATACAATGCTCAAGTCATTAGCAGAGGCATTTTATGCTGTATTTAAAGTTTAAGGAATATCTTGGTTTACATCCTATGATTCTTATAAGGCCAGTGTCTATCCTTGCTATGTGACTCCTCTCTGAAGGGCAGGAAGTTATATATAGGACCAAGAACCCAAACATTTCAGGAGCTAAAAAAAATTGACTTTGTAATATATTTGTGTGATTCTGTTCTAACATGACTGCCTGATTTTTCAGAAATACTTTAAATCAAACACAAGACACACTGTGAAGACCTACATTCCCAAAGACTAGAAGTCATATTGGTCTAACTTTCCCACTAAGTTTCTCAGAAAAAAGTTCTACTTCTTATATCTATGTGAGCATCTGCCCTTTCTTCTCTTTCTTTAGCCCTAATAGTTACCACACTCAAAAGACCACTCCAGCTGCTGTGGTTTGAATGCCTCCCAAAATTCATATGTTAAAATGTAATCCCTTTTGTAGTGATATTAAGAGAGAACCTTTGGGGAGGTGATTTGGGGAGCTGATTAAGTAACTCACAAATAGAGCAGT